GCATTGGACTCTATCAAGCCACACACAGAGTATTTTACACCTTTTACCAAGCTGGGCAGAGGGAGATCAGTTACTGTTAATTACAGATGTTCTCTGTCAAAATGTGCCAGATCTTCTAAAGTGTCTCAACTGCAAAGCTCCCAATTGCCACGCACAAACCTGGTAATGGTCCGTGCAAATTGAATACTTAGTGGGTCTGTGTGTGTTCTGTTCCAAGGACTGCTTTTGAAAATTTAGCCCCATAATTCCAAAGCATTTGTAGCATCATAATCTGTCATCATTAGCAACAATGCTTGACTTGGTGCTCAACATTCTTATTAACCAGGCAATTATGAATGTAGACAATGTTTAATCACTTTTATAAAAATACAGCTGTGTTGTTGAGGAGCTGTCATCTACTGTTCATTAATGATTGATTTTTTTAACCATCTAGATTGTTTTCATGAGAACAGCAGATTGACTATAAAGACTTCATTACTGGTCATTAAAGGATATTTAAATGGAAAACCTTTACAAGGAATGTCCTGTCTTGCTGCATTCAGATAACTGAAACATTCTTTCCAACGTTGAAAACAAAAATAAATCATTTTCAGACCTCTGGCAAGGAGACTGGGCTAGGGAGAGATGGAGCGAAAAGAGAAATTAAGAGAAAAATCTCTCTTTTGGGCTGTAATAAAGCATTGATTACATTTTACAATGGTAATAATTTACCCCAAATAATTACTTCAGCTATTGTCGAGCTTGTTTAAAGGCTGACATGAATAGTAGGCACGAATCTATTTGGGTCAGATTGTTAATAATGGGCTATTTTGAAAACATATAGCTGTTCCTCCATCTCCCTACACTGGAAGATACTAAATCCGTTCCAGAATTGTACACTTAATTAGAGATGAGTCAAAGCACTATTTTATGGCTGAACTTCCTGTAGTCCTTAGATGCAGAGAGCTGTGTTCTATTCCATCACTTGTCTCCTGGACATACTGTTATAAAATGCTCTTATCCTCTGCCTCCCTACCAAGATAATGTTTCAAAACCTGTTACAACACTAGAAAGAGCTGCTTGTTCAATGCCATGCCCTCACTGAAATCCCAGTTCTGAGGCTCTCTGTCCTCACCCCTGAGACTCAAAATATCACATGCACCCTGACTCACTGCACTCACCCCAGGCTCACTGCACTCACCCCAGGCTCACTGCACTCACCCCAGCCTCACTGCACTCACCCCAGGCTCACTGCACTCACCCCAGGCTCACTGTACTCACCCCAGGCTCACTGCACTCACCCCAGGCTCACTGCACTCACCCCAGGCTCACTGCACTCAACCCCAAGTGCACTGTACTCATTCCCAGGCCCTCTACTCCCACCCCCTGGCCCTCTGTGCTCCCTTCTGAAGCCCCTCACTTGCTCACTTGCTTTGCAACTTCCAGGGTTGAGGTTTCAACTAGAAACTTTTTAAATTACAAGTCTTCATTCTTCCTTAAGACACACCCTTAGTCCAGGACTTCTCTGAAATGTCTTTCTCTGTTCTTTTTCTTAATAGTTTGAATCTTTTCTGTGCAGCACACTACATATTTTTTTCCTGGATAAAAACCACAGGAGCCACCTATAATTCTATATTTAAAAATAATCAGAAATAATCACTGCTAATATTTTATATTTGTTTGTAGTATTTTCCCTTAGAGATTTTTCTTTTTCTTGTTTTCTTTTTGTTGTGAGAGGGGTGTAAGTCAGACTCTCTTGCAACCCAGGCTGGCATTGAACTAACAATATAGCCAAAAATGACTTGAACTCCTGATCTACCTCCTAAGCAGAATTATAGGAGTGTACCAGCACTTTTAAGCTCCTTGGAGAATTTCTTTTATTTTTATTACTGTTTATTCATCACTTGGGTGAGCTACTTGTCTTTTCTTGTTCAATTTTCTTTTCTGTTTTATAGGAAAATAATATTTCATGAGGTAATTATATAAGTTAATATTTGTAAAATTTGTGGAGGAATGTTTAATACAAATTAAGAGCTAAGTATATTTTAGCTATCACAGTTCTATAAATTATCAATTAAGAAATGCTACCAAGAGAATTTAAAAGTAAACTAAAAGATAATTAGTATATTAGTACTATCTATTGCTACAACAATGTTTCTAAGGCTAAGTACTTATTATCTCAAATATGGTTTCACTGGACATAGTGGTAGATGCCTATAATTCTAACATTTGAGAAGTAGAAGCAGCAATGTTGCTACAAATTCAAGGCCAGCCTGGTCTACATAGTGAATTCTAAGCTAGCCTATATTATAGAGCAAGACTTTGCCAAAGAGAGAGAGAAAAAAAAATAAGAAGAAAAAGAGAAGAGTTTTATTTATTTGAGCAATCTGGAGGCTGGACGTTTGAGCTTGGGATATTTCATCTGTCCGACCTCTGATGAGGACTCCTTTGGGCAACAAAATGACAGACGAGCAAAAGGTAGCCAACCATGGGCAGAAGGGGCCTAGCATGTGAGGTGACCTCCCTGTGACAACCTCCTCTATTAATTGCTAAGACACTTCGGAAACCATCATTAATATCCTCTGAGGACAGTGCCCCCAATCCTCTAGCCCCTTCCCGCAAGGCCTTGTGTCTTAGAGGTTCCACCACCTTCCACTGGGGACTTGGTCTCCAGTACAGGAACCCTTAGGCATCAAACCATTCCAAACCAAGCATTCTTTCCTTGGTTCCCGAGATCCATTTGCGGCTCATAGCACAAACTCACTCTATCTCCAGTAGCCCCCAAATCTTAATTCGTTCCAACATCACTCAGAAGTTCAGACCCTAGAAGTTACATCTGAGACTCAAGGCAAGCTACTACTTGTGAGCCTTAAAACCAAAAACAAGTAACCTACTTCCAGGATTCTGTGATAGTGCAGATAGATATAGGGTGAGCACTCTTATTCCTGAAGAAGAACCAGAAGTACAAAGGAGAAACTGGCCCACAGACAGACTGAAAGCAGACTCTAAATCTCCAAATCCCAAATAAGCAGCCTGTGTGCCTTGTAGGTGGCGAGGGCCCAGACAACCCAGCCTTATGGCTTTGCTGCTCACAGCCCATGTGGCTGTATCACCAGGCTGGCTAGCTTTGTGGCCTACTAGAGATTAGGTCACAATGTCTGAACTATACCTGCATGACCCCTACCCATTCTCAAACTGAGAAGCTCTGTCCTGGCTCCATCTCCAAGGCAAATTTCTACCTGGCTTCCCAGATGGGATGCCACTATGACCCCACGGTTCTCACTTTCTTTACTCGCAAAATCAGTAGTCTGGATGTTACTGCCTGTCATTTTCTCCATTCAGCAGTGCATAAGCCCTGCCTAGGTCTGCATGAACTGTGGTTAGTACAGTTCAAGAAGACCTCTCCAGGACCCAGAATCCTGAGGTGGCACTGGAAAATGTACCTACTTAGAATAACCCGGATTTCCTGAAAACATTCTGACCTCTTAGGCCTCTAGGACAATGACCTGAGAGACAATCTCGAAGACTCCTAAGATGCCCTGGAGACCTTTTCCCCATTGTTTTTGACAATTAGCCCCTGGATCCCTTTTATTTAGTCATTTGACCACATTCTCCTGTCCCAAACATGGAGGGGTTTTTGTCATAATTTTAAGCAACCTGTGACTTTTCCAAATCTCCTCATTCTTGTTTCCTTGTGTTCCTGAGTCTCACTGTAATCTCCTTGCAGTGGCTGGTGAAAACCAGAGCCTGAAAATTTTGTTGTTTAGAAACTTATATCCAGGTTCATCCCTCTTAAATTTGACCTTCCACAATCTCAAGGGCCTGGACATACTATAATAAGTTCTTTACAATAATATGAAAAGCTCCGATTTGAGTAGGGTCCTCATTTCTATCTAAAACTAGTTCCCTACTCTGTCTTCTGAGCCCTTGCCAGAATATCACATACTTTCTTGCTTACATTAGAATATTGCCTAGTTTGCTATTCAAAACTCTTCCAATGTCTACCCACTACCATTTCAGACCCTTTTCCATATTTTCATACACCTAGCTAGCTACAGCAACAACCTCACTCCTTGATACCAAATTTTCTATAGTAATCAGTCTTCTGTTGTTACAGCAAGGTATCCAAGGCTGGGAACTTACAAAGAAAACAGATTTGTTTAGCTCACAGTTTTATAGTCTGAAAGTTCAAGACCAGACAGTCTCGTCTCCACGGAACTACCATGATATGGCAAATAAGTGGAAATGGTACTGGCTGCAGATGCACAAGCTGGCCTCACTTTTTAACATTCAAAATGTCTCATTCCCCAAGACGATCATTCATCTCTTCCAAGTGTGAAGCCTCAATAACCTTATGGTCTTCCACCAGGCTTCCCTCTTGGACTGTCCCATCTGTTATGACTGCTACATTGGAGGCTAGGACTCCACCATAGGAATGCTTGGAAGACAAATAACATCCAAACCACAGCTACTGGTGTAATTTTTTTTTTTTTTTTTCCTTCTCAGTGACAGTCGGGAGGCAGGATGGATTCTGGGGAGAAAGATAAAGCAGGTATCCAAGGAATGCACATGGTGGTCATGAGCAGTCTCTGAACCTGCAGGTCTTGTGTCCTCAGCCCTTAGAGCCTTCACCCAACAAATGCAGAGCTCTAGAGAAGTCATAGGACATCATCAGACATGAGCAGTGGCAATAACAGGGCAAGGAGTGTCCACTTGAAGCTACATGCTGCTCAGAGTGCAGACTGGGGAGGGTGAGGGGGAGAAGGTGGGTGGAGGGGGAGAGTATAAGTATAAACTGCACAGAAAGTGTGTATTTACATCCCATTGGCACAAGAACATGAAACATATGCTTTGCATCAATGGGGCCAGACAACAAGACTGAATTTTTGATTCAAGGATCCTTCTAGAGTGTGCTAGACAGCACAACAGCAGAGTCCACAGGGCCCAAGTGACGACGTCCCAAATCTAGAGCAAGAAGGGGTAAAAGGAGGCAGCAAGGGGGCAGGGCTGGGCCGTGATGGTCTCTCAGGCACTGTCTTCTCCATCGCCCTACTATTGAGTCCACAGTGGGGTGGTAAAAATTTTAAACGTTAAAAATCCCTAGCCAGGCGTGGTGGCGCACTCCTTTAATCCCAGCACTCCAGAGGCAGAGGCAGGCAGATCTCTGTGAGTTCAAGGTCAGCCTGGTCTACATGGTGAGTTCCAGGACAGCTGGGGCTACAGGGAGACCCTGCCTCAAAAATGAAAATAGGAGGCCAGTAAAGTGTAAAAAATAAATTTTGGCACTCGGGAGGCAGAGGCAGGTGGATCTCTGTGAGTTCAAGGCCAGCCTGGTCTACAGTGAGTTCCAGGACAGCTGGGGCTACAGGGAGACCCTGCCTCAAAAACACTAAAAAAAAAATCCCAGATGAGGGGCTGGAGAAATGGCTCAGTAGTTAAGAATACTGGTTGTTCTTGCAGAAGACCCAGGTTCGAATCCCAGCATCCACATGGCAGCTAACAACTGTCTGTAACTCCAGTTCCAGGGGACCCAATGGCTTCTTCTGTCCTCCACAGGCATTGCACGACATGGGTGCACTTACCTACATACAGGCAATATGCACATACACATAAAATAAAAATAATAAAACATAAAAAAGAATCCCAGATGAGCTCTCTGTATACCTTTAATCCCAGCACTCAGGAGGCAGGGGCAGGGGAATCTCTGTGAGATAGAACCAACCTGTTCTACATAGTAAGTTCCAGGCTAGCAGGGACTACAGGAAGACCCTTTCTCAAAAAAAATTTTTTTAATAAAATAAAAAATAAAATAAATTCCCAGACAATACAAATGCATAAGGACAGACAGCCACATTCTGAAAGCCATTTGCCTTGTATTATATTACTGTAGTGAGAATAAAACAGTCACTAGTGAGAAAGACTAGTAAGCCTCAAAAACAAGGAAAGCACATTTGGTGTAGTGAGATTCGCCAGGGAGGGATTTGAAAGGGGTGTTATGCTACCAAGAATGATGTGATGAATGGAAACAATGTAGACCTGTGAAGTACCTCACCTATTGCTTTTCCAGCTGACTGTGGTCCAAGTAATTGCTAGGGAGGAGAACTTTTAGTTCCATGTCCACATTTTCCTACCGGGATATTCTAGCACCATGCTTGGAGAGGCTCACCAGAAATGGGAATCCCAGAATTGAGAAAAGCAAATATCCAGACTCCTTAGGTCTGGGTTAATATTTAAGACAACTGAGGCACATGCTAGTCTCTCTGAGTTCGCCTTCACCTGAATGACTAAATACTGAAATACTGACTTCATATAAACAAAAGTTTAGCATAAGCTGGTCACTCTTAATATTCATTGAATCTTGTAGAGATGGAAAAGAAATATTTAAAAGACTCCTCTCTTTTTACATTGCTGGTTTGTCTTTCAAAATTATAGTGTTAAGTTAAACATAAGCTACTAGGTTAGAGTTAGTCCCTAGAGGTGAAAAGAGACATCTGAGCGGTAACTTAGCCATCATGTTGAGACTGTCTGCTCTAAAACTGTCAGCTGCATGATGCCTACTAGACTGTTAAATCATTGTGATTTCTAATAAAATAATCTCTTCTCATCAAGCTATGCTACAAAGGGGTCAATTTGATCATTGAGTCTCAATCCTTGCTGAATTACCTGGGGATCATTTTTAAAAGGGGGGCGGTGTTGAAAATTATGTACAGAGCTGATAAACATCAGTGTCCAAGCCTCATTCCAGGATAGCCAGAGGCGCCGGGGCTGGAGGACGATTGTCACCAGTGTTTCCCACAGGGTCCTCTGGTGGCTCCAATGGTCACCACAGTTGAGCCGCACTGCTTCAGAAGACACAGACAGCCAACACACAACAGTTTCACTGCACCCCACAACTTTAAGAGAATGGTGACCTCAAAAATCCTCTAAACATGTCTTGCTGTGAAGAGACAAAGCCATAGTTCCTTCAGGCATTGATTATCTTTGTCAGTACTAGATGTAGCATACCTCTCCAGAGACCATAAATAAATCCTGCCAGGTTGAAAACCTGTGAAATAATCTGGCAAAAGTGACACAATGACAAACAGGGATAACTGGTGGGCAACCCAGACACTAACATATTATTGGGATAAATTGGAAAGATGGTACCGGTTATTTTGGATTTTCACCATGGTTTTATAGTAACTACTAAATTGGAATGGAAAGGCTGTGCTCAAATTGATAGTGCCCTTAAGTGGCAAGATAATCTCTTCTCAGCTGCTTTGGACCCATTATCTCTGAGGTGACTGTGATGTAAATTGTACCCTATCCTTTAGAAAGCTACTGTCTCTGAAGCCTGCCAGATCAACACACTGAGAGTCTAGCAACCTTGCAGCCACAGCCTGCTGAGATGCTGTCACTGATGGATGAAAGTGTGGAATTTGGATCTTGCAGTAAGTGGCTTACTTTTAAAATTTACCTTATTTACATAAAAAGATATATATATATATATAATATAGTATTATATGGGTACTCTATTTCTTGTATATGTCCAATATGTATCTTTTAATAAGCTATGTACTTTGGAAATTCTATATACTAAGATCCATATTTTGGACATAAATATTTTTATACTTTTTAGAATACTTTTCATCGCCCATGCTAAATAATGATTTAACAAATATTTTTAAACTATTGCTTTGAAGGGAAACCCACAATTAGCTTGGCTGGGATGTCTATCTGAGTCAGTCTTTCCCAAGCCACTGCCAAACGTCTTCTGAATGAATTTTGATTTATGCACTCTTAGAACAATGTCACTCAATTTATTAGCCTCTAAATTGAGTCTTTACCCTGGGTCTTAAATGTAGATTGTGGATATGTTATATGACAAAGGAAACTGTTTCTGTCGAGTTCATGCTCCCCTTTCCAAAATACAGAATTGTTACTTAGATAGAGCTGACTACATAAGGAGTCCAGAATTTTGAGGGACTGTGTAACTTCTTGTTCTTGTTGAGGGACACTTGTAAGGGGGACAAAGGCCAGTGGTATTAAGGACTGAGTATCCTCCTAGCCCATACTTTCCATAAGGCAGAGAGACATTAGAAAGTCCACACTGAGGATTATGAGGCTATAGGATGGAAAGAGACAGGGTTACTGATTCACCACTTGGAAGAAAGTTACCCATAACCAAGATTATACATTTTGGGCTTTATTAAGAAATCAATTTTTTTCATGTTTGGGCTACTGTATATTTTTAATTTATTTTTACAGCAGCTAGGATCACAGTGGTACAAATGGTACATTTGACCCTACATCACACCTGCTACAAAAACCTACAGTGAGGCTTTTTTAAAAAGAAGTTTGTCGTGACCTACGGTGAGGCTTTTTTTTAAAGAAGTTTGTTGTGACCAATCTGACACATATGCAATGAGACAATTTTGTGATAGCTGACATTCAGATGCGTAAGGACACCGAAAAAGAATAAAAGTTTTACTCCAGTGTTTAAAACTCTGCTTCATGGTGTTGGAGAGATGGCTCAGCAGTTAAGAACACTAGCTGTTCTTGCAGAAGACCCAGGTTCGAATCCCAGCACTTACATGGCAGCTAACAACTATCCAAAACTCCAGGGGATCTGACGGCCTCTTCTTTCCTCCACAGGCATTGCACGATACAAGTGCAATTACCTACATGCAGGCAATACACGCATACACATAAAATTAAAATAAAAAATAATAAATAAAATATAAAACTCTGCCTCATGCCTTCTAAAACTGAGCTCCTTGGTACAGTTTCAAACGTGATATGAACATCCTCATAATTTTCTCAGATTTTTCCCACAAAATTGTGCTCATACAGCACATGAAACATAGTGAATTATATTCTATTTCTTCTCATCATATGAGAAATATCTTTTTATATGAAAATCTACACATTAATAGTCAACATACGACCAGTGAGGGCTCTACTTTAGAACCACAAAAAAAAAAAAAAGAAACAGGAGTCTTAACAGAAACAGAAAGAAGATGTCAGTATCAAGAAAAGTCAGTAGCCAGGTAGAAGAGTCTCTGATAGTCCCCAGAGCTCTGTAGGCTGCTAGGAAGTTCCCAACCACCCATAAGAAGGCCAAGCAGGCAGCCAGCCGGAAATGCCTGTACCAGGTGGGTTGTGTTCTTTCAGGGTCTTTTCATTAACTGGATACTTGACTCAGCAAACACTTGACTCTTGGTTTTGTTTTTTTTACAATTTTAAGTAATCCATGTCAGTACATACTGTATGCCTGAGTTTACATATCAAAACAGATACAGTAATTATGTGTTAGTTAAAAATGGATAATTTTTATGATCCTATCAACTTTAAAAAAAAAAGAAAGTTCTATAAAAGTTTATTGTTTCTCTTAAAGGATATTGGTGAGGCTTGGATCTTCACAGACACACAAAAAAAAAAAAAAATCCAAGGATTGTACAGGATGGATCCCGTGACAGGTCTTCCTAAGTGGCTAACATTGCCACAGTCCCTCAGCTGTACCTGGGAAATGTTCTGACATTGCAAGTGCTAGGATCCTGAATAGGACTTAACTTATACAATGTTATTTGTCAAGATTTTTCTTGAATATAGTTGTGAAGAGGAGCTGAAGGCCCTTTTTCTTCAAGAATGTTTCCAATTACTCTTGTTCAGGAATTGGCCAATATAAGAATTTCAGTCCAGACCACTTCTGGTGTATATCAGGAAAACTGATTAGCAACTGAAGCATTAACATCAGAGGAAACCTAATGATTAGATGTCAGAAGCGACATTACATCAGATCTGCTCACATAGATTTCTAGAATAACCAGGACTCACTTTGAAATGTAAACAATTAATGGATAAAAGAGGTCATTTTCTGCAGCAACACTTGACCCACATGTTTCTATGCAACTGAAGCTGGCTGATATTATAGAAGTAGCAAAGGTCCGTACCAATGCATCCGCAGACAGTGACTTGGAGTTTTAAGATATCAGAAAATATTTTTTTCACACACAACACACACACACAGACACACACACAAGAATATGTGCACACATACATACATATAGCACTCTGAAGTAAATATTTAAGCCATGTCTGCAAAGTTTTTAATGAT